GAAAACTATTATTGAAACAAATTGAATTTCAAAACCAAGTATAGCTTTTGAAAAATCCTGTGACTTCTTGAATTGCCAAAACACTCAATATTATTATTTAAGTCACAGATAAATTGTATCCATTATATTTGAGAACGTTGTAACAGTACACTTGAAAGCCTGATGGGATTGATTGAAATTCAGTTATTGGTTTTTTAAGTTAAAATTTAGAGGCTTCAAAGACGTGACAAAGTTATATAGTAGTCTGTGGGTGTGTTTTCTGGAGTAGATAATGTTGGACTGGGACATATATTTTACAGAAAAGCTTAAATACTTCTTTGTGTATGCATATATTTATTTTCATCTTGATGCAAAGCTCTTGAACTGCTTTGATGCAAAATGTTTCTTTATCTCCTCTGTCCGCAGAGTTGTGAGAAGCTGAAGATGAAGCCAGGGAAAAACACAGCAGTGGAGCACACACAAACATGAGGCCGCCTGGCTTCTTGCCAACATACATGACATTCAATTATTTTAGTGCTTTTTCATGAGAGTTTTCCCTCCACCCAGCTTCCCTGCCCTTCTCCAAACCCTTGCTTTCTACATTTGGCATAGTTCGTCGGATTCAGCACGCATTTTTCCCAGCGTCACTTACTAATATGTCTCAAACTCGCCCACAAAATAAAGTGCTAAGATTAAAATTCTTGCAATCCTATCTTGACATTCCCACTATTACTATATAACTGTGACGTTTCTTTTAATAAATTGAGAAAGAAAGGAGCTAGAGTGGTCCACACAGTGCTTCAACTGCTGCTTTGATGTATGAACTCCAAATATTTTTCATTTCCCAAAATATATTCTCATGGGGGAGGAGGGCATTAAAAACAGCTTTTAGAGCTTGAGATATTTTTTTTTCAAAGTGTAATAATTTAGCCGACAGACAGGCAATCTCTTATCTGAACTTGACTTATCTGAATTTACCTTTATGTGTACATGGTGGCAGGGGTCACTAGTCATTTCAGAGGACTTTTCAACTAGTTTAACTTATTCAATTGCTTTAGTTCTAGACTCTAAAGGGAACTAAATAAAGACAACTTTATTAAAATACCCCAAATCTCTGTGTTTGGGGAGTTGGCACCTAATAACAACAGCAACAGCCACAAACTGTCTGCGGGGAATGTTAGATATAACTTCAAGTCAGAACACCAGCCACTTCACAGAATAGCCTTTCTACTGTGTTGGCATCCAATGATGCCAGAGGAATGAAGAGAAAACCGTATATCAAAGAGGCTGAGATGCGAACCTGCAATATGTTTTGTTAACCCTCAGTCTTTTGCTTCCTGGACTATGCACATTCCTTCACTGCGCTTCACTCCCATCAAGGCGATTCGAGGAAGCATCAGTGGTTACACAGCACCCCGAGGTCTGCCAGTGCTGGAATCCTAGGATGTCCAATATTTTGTTAGACTTCAAAAGAAACTGATGCCTCCCCCAACTCTGTCTCCCTCCTACTCCCACTCTCACCCATCACCTCCTACTAGTGTTGCCCGTGTATAAATAGCAAAGGAGAGTCGCGTTATGCCTAGCAGATTAATTGATTGACATGAAGGATGGGAAGCAGAATCCTGGGATTAGAACCCAGGCTCTCCTGTGGAAAGATATGAACTGTTGATACTCTCAGAGGTGAGATAGAAAGCTGGAGCACAGATGGGAGTGGTGGCCTGAGGGTGATGGGCTGGGCCTGCTAAGACAAAATCCCAATCAGAACCTCACTTAATAACTGGGTCTCACTATCCAGCTGATGGCTCCACAGAACACTGGCCCCTGGGGCCCTGGCCATGGGCAACTGTTTGGAACTGGGGAGGGTTAAGATAGGGAATGAAGGTTAGGAACAGGTTTTAAAAACCTACAGAGGAGTGAGCCATGCAGGTCTGGATAGGGTAGCTGCAAGTGCTGGTCAAAGGGATATGGTCATTTTCCGAGAAGGCTATTCTCCAAGTGCCAGTTGGCACTCGTATGTCTCAGAGAAGACGAGACAGCCTCCCATCTGACTTCTGCTCTCTCCTCGTGACCTCTGGAAATCAACTATGATCGTTTCAATTAATATTATTTTACATTTATTTTTAATACTCCAATACTCCATTGGCTAGAGCTGTGCCATTCCCATAAACTCCCTCTCAACCTCTCAAAATCTATTTAATGAAGCTCTTGGCAAACAGAAACCCAGTTTCTTGCCAAAAACTGCAGATTAAGCATTCCTTATGGGAGTTTGCCATTAGCTGTTCCTTCTGTAATAGGCACATGTGGTTACATGTTCCAGAACACACAGGATTCCCTGTGAGAGACTTGCATTTCCAGGAGTTTCCAGGGATGTTAAGTGGGGTTGGTGACACTTGGTCCCATCCCTCCGACCACCACCATCTCACGTGGGTCCGAGGGAAGGGTGGGAAGGACTTGCCGGGCAGTGGTCCCCCGTGGCTTCCCTGTACCTTCCTAGGAGCTGAACTTGTATTGGTGTACATATACTAGAGCTCACATCATATGCCTTTCATTTAAAAGACACCGAATGTTTCTCAGGGAACTTAGGGCTCTTAAGACGCATATTTATAAACAAGCCGACATGGCTCTACGACATAACTAAGTTTATAGCTAGGAGTTGTTTGTATATGTCCTCCAGTCTGCAAGGCGTTCCTGCTGCTGTGAATTTTTAGGGGGGAAAAAACACACTACTAAACGGTCATTTCTCTTATACCCCCGTGTTTATTAGAGAAACTCAGACTTTCTGTATATCTGAAAGTACAGAGGGGGATGGAGCATGAAAAAGCACCAACCCACACAGGAGTGAGTGGATAACTCTACACTCAGCTTTCCCACAGGGGCGGCCCAGGAACCCGCTAGGAAATGTCCAGGGAGGGCATGGCCGCTCCTCCTTACGCACAGCCGGGGGCCCCAGCCTTTCCTGGGCTTTTATGGGGTGCCCAGCCCAGGATGTCAGGCTTGGATTTCCCGAGCCTTGATGCAGTCTGGCTCTCTCCTGGATCAAAGTCCCTGAAAGCTTTTCTGTGGCCCTGCTGGGTGCTGGCTGCAGGAGACAGTAACAATAATAATACAGCAAAAGCTACATCATTACAGGAATCGTGTCAACTCCCCGGAACCTGACTGCGCGCCCAAGTCCACTCCGAGCGCGCGGAGCGTGAACTGAGCGAGTGCCCCTGCTCGGGAGAAGCGACTGGGGGAGCGAGGCTGCTGCTTGGGGCCGCCGCTGGGCCGCCATCAGACCGGACCTGGGTGTTTCGGCCCGGCCTGGCGTCTGGGGCAGTGCCGGGAGCCGCTCCGAGGTGCGCAGCGCTCCGTGATCTCCATGGTGGTTCCTTCCTGGCTGTGGCCTGTCCTGGCCTCCAAGAGGGCCTGCCAGCGAGGCTTGGGTCAGCCAAGACCCCGAAGAGGGTGGGCATTTCCGAACGCGTGCGGACGTCCGGATGCCCGCCAGCGTGGGGCTTGGCCTCGCCGCTCCCAGAGTCGGGGCAGGGCTGCCCGACGTGCCAGATTGGCCCGGGGACACGCGACGGGCGCTGCGGGGCCTGTGCGGGAAAGCCCGGAGCAGAGGCGTCCCTGGCCAGGCGCAAGCCTCAGTCTCCAACGGGTGGGAGCTTTTTACCAAATTTGCTAGTTTTAGAGACCTGTCGCCAATGGCTGCCTTCTCGTGCCCAAGGCCCTGCACGCGTTCCCCTCGGGGGCCGCGGGCTGCTCGGACACCCGAGTCTGTCCCAAAGTCACGAGGGGCCTCTCCATCCCGCAGCGCTACCCCGCCCTCGGGGAGCGGCGGGTGCCGGGCCGGCCTTCCACCCTCGGGCGGTCCAGGCCCTGTGCGCGCCCCGGTCGCCGCCTCTCCCGCATCCAGCTCCGCGCGCCCCGCGCTCCCTGCACGCGCTTTTCAAAGTCATTGCACCGCATTTCTTTAAAAGAAAAGGAAAAAAAAAGAATAGTGTTTAAAAAACAAGGCTGAAGGCCGTCCTCGTTCACAGATCCCTTTGTGTAATGAGCACCCCTCTGGCCTACACCAAGAATCCCTCGGAGGCACTTTTCCTACGGAGTTTTCTTAAAATAATCTGGATCTCAGGATAAAATCGTGGACCGCGGGGATGGCTGGGGAGGGAAGGGGAGAATAGGATGGTATTGGTGTAACGGTTCCCAGGCCTCTGGCTGGGCTGCCCGCTCCCACCCAGCGCCACCAGCCTCCGGGGCCACTCGCCGCTGGCTCCGGACGGGCCGCGGGCTCGGCAGCGCCGCGAGCGCCGGGTTGGGAGCAGAAGCGGGCCCCCTACCTCCGCCACCCCAGGTCATCGCTGCCCAGGTATCTGGCTTCTCGGGCTTCGGATTAATGTGGATCTTCCACACAAACGATTTACGGATGAAATAAAAGCCCCGTAGAGCAACACTTCCTTTCAAGTTCTTCAGACGCCTCTAAATCTTTCTGGTCGTGAGTGGCCGGCGTGGGGGCGGGGTAGGGCCGGGGGCGGGCGGACCGGGAGCGCGCAGCGAGCGGGGAGTGGAGGGTTAAGTGCTTTGCGATCTCACCCAGCTCTTCCGAAATGCCAGTCGCTGCGACAGTGTTTCTGGGTGTCGGGGCCTCGTCCCTCCTGGCATGTGTCTGAAATGGAGCTGCCTGTCTAACCTCGGCCCGGACGCGCCCTGCCCGGGGAAGTGGGGGAAGGTGGGGAGAGGGTGGGGGCGGAGGGGGACCCGGGGTGGAGTTAGTCGCTGGCCTATTTTCATATTCATTAGAACTGGGAGGTTGCCCGAGGAGCCCAGCTGAGTTTCAAGATATAAAAGCAACTTCGGGTGCCCCCTTTCCAGCCGGGACGCATTAAAGGGCTGGGAGCGGGGCAGCTCCCGGCGCCGCAGCGCTCGCTTCCCCTTTCCCTCCTCGCGGCCCCTCCCCTCCTCCCGCCCGCCCCTTTCCCTCCCCCCAGCGCTCCCCAGACTTCGCGCCCCCTGGAGCCCCCGAGACAGCTACCGGGATTATGGAGTTTCTGAGCGAGAAAGTTTTCCCCTCAAGGAGCCCGCAGAGTAAAAAACAGTGACTTTTACATGGGCGCGGGAGGCGCGTTGGAGCACGTTATGGAGACGCTGGACAATGAGTCCTTTTACAGCAAAGGCGCGGCGGGCAAATGCGTGCAGGCCTTCGGGCCCCCGCGCCGAGCATCACGTGCGCCTGGAGAGGACCTCGCCCTGTCAGGACGGCAGCGGTGAGTCGGCGGCCCCAGCCCCAGCCCCAGCTCCCGTCGCGGTAGCCCGTGTGCAAATCCGAAGTTCCGGGGACCCATCGGGACAGTGAAGGAGGAAGGGAAGGGAAGCGGGAGGGCGGAGGGAGGCAGGGCAACGCTGCGGGTATCGGGAAACGGTGTTGAGCTGCCGGCGACTTGGGAGGGCAGCGGGAGGAGTGGGCACCGCCGTGCCTCCGCGGCTCCCCTTGGGCTGCGCACTGTTGTCCCCCGCGGGTCCCGATTCTCTGTACCCAGGTCCAGGCGTAAACCGATAGGCGGTAAATAAAGCGTAATTGAGTCAAGACAGCGCGCTTTCTCTGCTAGCCCGCCGCGCCGCCCGGCAGCGGGAGCTGAAATCCATCACAGCTCGTTAGAGGATGTCACTGTCGTCACGAATGAGAACACTCTGAACTCCTTTAGATGAAAAACCTTTTTTTTTTTTTTAAATTTCCCCCCAAGACGTAGCGATATCTTACTGTGCGAAGCTGGAGAGTTGCTAGATTAGCTTGTGTGAATTTGTAATTTCTGCTTCTTTGGGTTTGCAATACAACCCAAATTTTTGAAGAACAGTCACTTTAAATAGCTTCGGGCAAAGGACCCCAGTATAATCACTCACTCCGGAATTGTGCACGGTGCAGTTTTCTGACTCCACGTTAAAAGTCACCGCAGAAGCTTTCGGAATGCTTCTGGGTGAAATCTTCAACTTTGAATGGCCAAGTCTCTCAAAGTCAAAATGTTATCAAAACAAACCATCTTTCTATCTTGTAACCCAATACAAACCTATTTTTTCTCAGAGCGCGACAGCTCAATCAAGTTTACAATTCCAAGAGGACTTTTCCTTATCATTGTATATATTCCACAGTTAAGCTGTAAGGAGCGGGTTGCTTTAAAATAACAAACGAATTAAGTGTGAAATATTTACAACAAGCCTCCTGCCCCCTGTTTTAATGGAGGTTGAAGATCTGGCAAGCACTGGCTCATAGTAGCTCCTTTTCTAAATACTTTGTACACAGTTCCTACTTTATTCAATGTTGCAAGTTTCTTTTGACTTGCAACGTTAAACCAAAAATAAAGGCGGAAGCGATAGAGAAAATCAGTTAATCGTTTCGGTCATTTATTTAGAAAGACACATCAATTCATTTTTATTTTTAATACACTAAATGTTTGGCTTTCTGGATGTATTTTCAGACTGCAGTATCTTTAGATGTTTGGAATTCTTAGGTATCTACGTAAGAATGGACAGGATTTTGTTCTTAAATGGTTCTGTAATGCCCTGTGCTGACTGCTGGATAGAACTCAATCATAATATTTTAAATTGTCGGGAATCCACAACAAGAAGAGAAATAGGTGATTTTTGATGCTTTATCGACTTTTAAATGAACATCACACTCCTAGGACTAGTTTTACTGTGAAAGAAGGAAGGTGTACATAGGCAGCAGTCCGCTCCCTTTAGGAAAGTTCAGTCTTTCTCCTGAGATGCCCTTAGTTACAGGACTGCTTCCCCTCCCCCTATCGCTAATTACCGCAGTTCCCCATTTAACTCTGTCCACAGAGACAAAACCGAATTGTTCATCAGTCATGGCTCTTCTTTATATTTAGTTTTACATCACATCTTCTTTTGCACAAAAGTTATTTGGCATTTCAATTATATAGGCATTCAAGTTCAATAAATTGGTAAAATGATTAAAGCAGTTATAAAGATCATTTCAATACAGACAAAAGCAAAAAAAATTATGACAGTTCATTGGAAATTATTGTTCTGGCTGGGTTGACTTTACTTTTCAAAAAATGCCTCCCATTTTATTATGTGCATTAATTGCATTTGTGTGTGTGTGTGGCACCACATGATACATTTTTTTGTTTTATATCATACCCCAAGCATGCAACCAAATCTGGAGGAAATCACTGAAATTAAAACATCCCTAAACAAAATGCCAGCTGTAATTCTTTGTAATCTTTTAATAGATGGTTTAATTGCTATGCTTTATTAGAGGTAAAAATAAAGCTTTCTACCTTAAAACATATTTTATGAGTTAAGAATAAATATGGCATATTTAGCAAGAACTGTAAACAAATTTATAAGCTGAAGAAGTCTACTTCAGTTTTCTATGGTAAACACTTTCAGAAACTAATATAAAATCATTTTTAAAATTTAGATCACTTTTTGAAAAAAAATTAAAGTGCAGACATGAATATACAGTTGAAATATTCAAAATATAGTAGAAACAACACCATGTGGGAAATCTATAGCTTTTGTGTGGAGGAGGAAGATAACTTTTGGAAAGAGTTTGGATTTTGGTTTACAGATATTTAAATTTGAAATATCTTTCTTGGGCCATGTAAGTAGCTTAATTTTAATTCTGTCTGCTGTGAATAAATATATGACTTATATTAAATTTGATTCAGTTTTCAAAAATTATGCTCACTTAGGCTTTTTAAAATCTGGAGCACTTTTAATTTGACTGCCTTAATTTGATTATAAATTATGTGCATAAACATTGCATTAGTCCTGTAGAACGATGAATTTGGGCAAATTATATGAGTTCCATGTACACATTTTAAAATGGCTTTAAACCTGCCCAAAGTGGATTAATACTTGTACCTAATGTGATGATTGAATTAGTACGGGCACAATAAATCATTAGCAGACCATTTTCCTGATGCTCTAAATTGCAATGTAAGTCCTTCATCTAAATGCTTCACAGTGTTGAGAACTGTTGTTTTCCCCTGGTTACAGTGAACTATGGGATCACTAAAGTAGAAGGACAGCCACTTCACACTGAACTAAATAGAGCTATGGACAACTGTAACAGTCTCCGGATGTCTCCCGTGAAAGGGATGCCAGAGAAGGGAGAACTGGATGAACTTGGGGATAAATGTGACAGCAACGTATCCAGCAGTAAGAAGCGGAGACACCGAACCACCTTCACCAGCTTGCAGCTGGAGGAGCTGGAGAAGGTCTTTCAGAAAACTCATTACCCAGATGTGTACGTCAGAGAACAACTTGCTCTGAGGACAGAGCTCACTGAGGCCAGGGTCCAGGTAGGAGCCATATGATGGCCTTGGGTGGGTGCTGGTGGGTGTAGGTAGGTAGTGTTAGAATAATTCAATAGTTGCATTTGCCGCAAAGGAACTATTGAAAGATGTAGAACAATGTTATGTATGTAGGTCTGCTAAAATTTCTTTTTACTTGCAAAGAATGTAACAACTTACATAAAAACATAAAAAAGAATACTTGAGTTATATAGGCATAAAACCATCGATTATTTAAAGAACTGAATATCTTAACATACCTCTGATTTCAAAAATTAATTTTAAAAGGCAAAAGATAGAACCATAGTTATTCACTTATTAATGCATGTGTTTTATTTTGTTTTTCTATTTTATCAGCTATTGAGTTTTGTTTTAAGGTTATACACCAGGTATTGACAAGTTATTTGTATAATGGCCTATAAATATATAATTTTATTGAAGTTAAGGTGATAATAAGACAAAGAAAAAAAGAAACAATCTCATAAATTCCCAATTGTTATGTAAAGCAACTCTATTTTTATTATACATAATTAAAGAAAGATCATATAACTCATTTTCAATTTTATCACCTTAGTAGTTGCCAGTGATGTCATTCCATTCAATATTTTAAATATAGATAACTTATATAGTTTTTGCAGAGGCAATAGAAATAATGATCATACAGTAATTTAAAAATATGTAGTAAATTATAAGTTGTATTCAAATGATCAAATTGGATGATTTAATATACTATATTTGTAATCATTTGAAAAGGAAAAATTATACTGGATAAAATTTTATACTCTTAGGCATGTTTTATTTTTATTAGAGTTGATATTCTTGCACTACATTTTATTAGGTTCCAAATAACAATCATTTGGGAGAATGACCTTTTTCCTTGGCATGCTTTTATTACTCTAAATAGGAAACTATTGAATTCTGCAGTTCCCATAAACGACAGAATAAATGAATGAGTGAAAACTTTTGTGCTTAGTGGAGTAATAGTATTTATTCTGAAGATTAAGCCATCGTTAAGGCCTTTACATCATTAAACACAACATCTGGTGGTGCAGGGGTAACAAGCAGCAGGTTTTTTTCTGTAGTTGTGGAAGCAAATGGTTACTTTATCTTAGTTCAGGAAGTAGGTATATAGAAAGTTGATGCTAACGAAAAGTTTTAGAATTGTCAAGTGTTAACAGGAGCCCGCATGTGTTCCTTTTTCCTGGTACCCACATATTTAAATTAGTTATACTTGTAAGCATAGAAAAACGTGTTTGCATACAGAGGGGTCAGCTGTGTACAATGCATATTTCCCCCTTAACATTTCATCAAGTCCTGATTCATTTTTTTGTCTGAGAACATGCACAGAGAGCCAGCCTGAACCTAATTTACTCAGGTTGTTTTCTTTCCTGCTTTTCACATCAGAGTGGTTATTGGCATCCATTTTAAGGAGATTGTCAAGGTCTTTTCTTAGTGAAAAACACACACAAAAAAGCACACCTTACTACTGAATTCCCTTAGTATGCTCTTGGTGCCTATCTGTGGAGACAGCAAGGCATTACATTTTGTTTGGTTTGGTTGTTGATGTTGTCTTGAGTCTGGGCATAGTGGGTAACACACATTGGCCAGCAGTGTTGTAAGAAACCACACTGAACAGGTAACTCCCTTTGCCTTGTTTTAATTGCTGCAAACTCTTCCAAAGTGCCATCTTAAATCTGCGATATATGTTTACATATTAAACTGAGTGTTCAAATGTTTCCATAAGTGTGATTATAATTGAATTTGCAAAAGAATAAAGCTTTCGAGTAATTTTAATAAAAGGCTTTTTAACAATTTGCATTTTTATATTTGATTTCCAGCTTCTTTCCTAAATATTTTATATTCTGAACATACTTGTGTAAAGACTAAAGAGTTCCTGGAAGCTGCTTGTGTCATGTCTACTCAAAAATATCAATTTATACATATTGAAGATGCTTTTCTATATCTCCCTTTAATACATGAAAATATTAAAATGAAAATTCTGGAGAGTGATAAGTATGAATTAGTGAATATTTAACCCTCTGTGGAAAATGGTTGTTGCAATAAATATTGTTAGTATGAGAGTGTAGTGACCCTGTAGAGGTCCCACTAACTCATAGACTTCCTTCACACTTGGTTATATCTGCTCTATTTCTTTTATTATTTATTATCTGTAAGTCATTTACATTGGAGAATAATTTTGATGATGGCTGAATATTTTTTATAAGAGAAGATAAATGTTATAAGTGGTATGATGTAATAAACACATTTGTTTATTTCAAAACCATAATTGTACTTCAGATGATTCCATTTTACCTTTTGTCTCTATCATGCTCAGTATTATATCTAATCTTAATATTTTATGTTTCTATATAATCATGATATTTCTGCTGATGCCATCTAGTTTTAGATGAAGTCTTTATATTTAAATTTTTTTCTAAGAGTATGTAAGTATGGGTATAATCAAAAGTCTTCACTTTATGAAATGCTTTAAAGATAATTGTTTTGATAGACCCAGATATTCATTTGGTTATAAATTGGCTGGGTTAATGTCATGTGCATAATCCCCAATTATAAAGTCATGAACATCTCTCAAACTTGCAGCATTCTCTGAGAGGAGGATTATCTATGATAGTTTGGAGATATAAGGAGTCTTCAGGATCATATACTCTAAATACTTTTTATTTTCCATAACTGAAAAAACAGAGGCTCAAACATATTAAATAAATGTTTTTAAAGTATTTTGTCTTTTTATGTTAATTTATAGTGCCTCATGGTTATACCACTTATCTAAAGGTAAAATAGAAAGTAAAATTTGTGGATTTTTTCTGATAAAAATTTCTTTTATTAGTAATTATATTGACCTGATTTACCTTTCTGATTTGAATTATTTTAACATCACATTTATATTATCAAGTATTCTTTAGCTAAAATTCTACTTCTTTGAAAAATTAGGTTTGGTTTCAAAATCGAAGGGCCAAGTGGAGGAAAAGAGAACGTTATGGCCAAATACAACAAGCTAAAAGCCATTTTGCTGCCACCTATGATATATCAGTTTTGCCCAGGACTGACAGCTATCCTCAGGTATGATAAACTGTGTGAAATACTGATCAAGAAAAATACATGCAGTGTGTATATTATTAAAAGAGCTAGTATAGGCTTTATTATATCTAATATAGAGGTTTGGAATGAGAATTTTAAACTCCAGAAGGCCTTTTTTCATGTTTGTTAAATTTTACTAAAATATTTATTTTGTTACTATTTTTCCCCCAGAGCCATTCATTGAACAATATTTCAGGGTCTCTTCCTTGTTATACAATGCAACAGCTGAAGTAGCATCATTCAATTGTATATGTATGCTAATTACTCTGCATTTTAATTATTCAAAATCACTTCCCTTGTTTATTTCAAAAATATATTGAATATTGTTTGGCATGCTATCTCTGTAGATAATGTTTCACAAGTTGGTCCTACACAACCTAGTGTCAAATGTAGTATAAGTTGCTCATTGTTTGAAGGAAACATTGAGTCCTTTGCTTCTTAACATGCATGTAGAATTAGGACTGAATATAATTTAAAATTTTTTTATCATGTAAAAAAATGCTTCCCTTTATAATGGGAGTTCTCATTTTAAGGACTAGAAATTATTTTTTCATCTATTTTTTTAATTTAGAGTGTTTTTTTTCTTATCCATACTCTTTAATGCATGTAAGTAAAAAATATTCTTACCTTTCTAAATGAGTATTACTTTATCCTAACACTGAATTATTCAGAACTGTATTTGGTACATGATTGATGCATATTATAAGGAGCAAGCCATCTGTTATTTACTTCCTTTTTGTTTAATGATATGCGCTGTAAGAAACCACTTAGATAACAAATATGTAACGTGTATGTTGGTGGAATACCTTGATAGTCCAGTAACGAAATCGTCACAGCCTCAAACTTACTTAAGGTACTCATTTTCTTCAACTATAAATTCATACCCTTTCAGTATGAATTCAGTCCTCTATTTTTCTACTATCCTTATGTTCTGATGCCTTTTTTGACCCTTAACAGCCTATCTTGAGACCTTCACTCCTCCAGATAAATTCACCAAATTTATTCGTGTAACATTATATATGTACAAGAGCCTTAGAGATCATTTTATTCTGCTTCTTCATTTTAGAAGTTAGGAAAGCAGACCCAGGTGAGCTAAGGAATTGGTCTGTGATCATACAAGCAGCTCCTTACAGGCCAGTCTGTAAGGGAGGCTGTGGCTCAGCCTTGTACCACAGTTTGCTAGTAGCTTTGGAATAAATGCCACACCTGCCATGAGAAGAACTGTGTTTTCTCTTACTTTTAAAAATGTATCTTAAAGCAGTTCCCTTACTTTTCCCTTCTGTTTAAAAGCAGGTATACACTCCTGGTTACTTATCATCATAGGGCTAATGAAATGTTATGCACCAAATATTTTTGAGTGTCCTAGTTGAGTTCTAAGCAGAGGCCTAAGGGGCTCTTTCCCCTCTTGGCTACAAGCTCCCTGAGAACAGGCACTGCAGTGTTCTCCTCGTTGTTATATGACTATAGCCCTTACTCTCTGAGGCACTGTTCTAAGCAGGGTGTGTATATGAACTCATTTAATCCCCACAGCAACCTTATGTGGTTTGCATTATTATTTATCCCCATGTCTCCTGTGAGGAAACTGAGGCACAGAGAGGGGAGGTATATACTCATCTCCACTGGTGGTGAAGCCCTGATTTGACCAGAGGCATTCTGGCTCCCAAGGGCAAGAACTTAACTGTCAATATAGACTGTCTCAGCAAATATGTTTAAATGATTGCAGGGTTAGCAAATTAATACCAAAGGAGCATACTGCTTAAGCTGTTTATTCGAATTTGCATTTTAGTTTAGGGGAGCAGCGAATATATTCACAACCAGTGAAATAACAATAAAAATAATAGCATATATTTTATTTTATTTTTTAAATATATTTTATTAATTTTTTACAGAGAGAAAGGGAGAGGGATAGAGAGTTAGAAACATTGATGAGGGAGAAACATCGAGCAGCTGCCTCCTGCACACCTCCCACTGGGTATGTGCCTGAAACCAAGGTACAGAATCAAACCAGAATCGAACCTGGGACCCTTGAGTCCGCAGGCCAACGCTCCATCCACTGAGTCAAACTGGTTAGGGCGACATAGCATATATTTTATATAATTTTGAACTATTAGAGGCGATAGCTGACTATGAGGACTTTAGAAATAAGTCACATATTAGGAACTATTTTCAAGTGCACTTTAAACAGTCTGATAAGTTTATTCCACAATAGTTGAATATATATTTTTTATACCTTATTATTTCAATTGTCATTCCTTTTCTTGTAAACCCCATTTTTTACTTTGTTCCTTGCTATTGGTTGCATTATCTCTAACTCCCCTTTCATCTTCAGTGTAGCCTAAAGCATTAATTATAGTACCTGGCACCAATTAACCTCTTTATAGTGGCTTAATATTACCTAATATACTCTGACTAGATGCCCCTTTTCCTAGGATTATCATGCCATTATGTTACTGTGCTGCATAGCTTTAGATATTAACAATTAGCAGAATGAGGCAACCCAGCAGCTCAAGCAGGAAAGAAAATGGTATGAGTTATACATTTGAGTCTTTTACACTCTAGCAAAGGAGTAATTTAAAATTTCCCTTCACGAGTCATGGGAATTTCACACTAATTCTCCCTGTGGCTTCTCCATGCTGTATGTACATTGGTGATACCACCTCATAATTTAAGTATGGAAGCACGGAGATTAGATGTAGAAGTTATTTTGACAGTGCAACTTGTCAACAATAACTAAAATCAATACTATAACATCCATAGTGCTTTTCTACACTGGTAAGTCATGTAATGTTTGCTTGCCAGAAATTCTGAAATCAAGTGTCTTCCACTCCCCCACTGTAAGGAGAAATTTGTTTTAACTTAAAAATATGAGGTTTACTTTTTAGTTTGTTTGAAAAAAGAATTATGACAGTACCATGTCTCCAAGCGTCAGCCTAAAGGAAACTTTTTTTTTTTAATCTTGTGGCTTGAAGATAGAAATGTATAATGGGAAAAATAGAAACCAAAATAGAACGCAACAGCTCAGTGCAATAAAACTTTGAATTTGGTTACTGTTACTAATTCTAGAAAAAAGTTATTAATAATCAAAACAGTTGGAAACTAGAAAATGTTGGAGGCAGGACAGAAACAAAGAATTAGCAATTTGGCAGGAAAGCAAAGGCATGCACAGAGATACACGAAAAACGAGATGGCTTAGAAAGATCTTCTCCAGCCTGCCCAGTGTAGATAATGATCTTACTTAGCATAAAGGTATCCATATGTAACATATAATATGGTTACTTAGGAATAATAATTAATATTTTCTAAAGTGTTCTCAATACTTTGTTTCCACTGGTCTCCGTGGCACTATAGTAACAACAGCCATAACAGTAAGAGAAAGTAACTGCAGGCTGAGGGCTTATTTCAGCCCGACTTTCTTCCTGTAGCCATTAATCACTGAACCTGAACCCAGGATCTCTGAGTGGGAGTCCAGGGTACCTGATGTAACATTATCTCTATAGTGTATCATTGAGCAATCAAATAGTTAAGTTTTGACCCTAAAACGTTGAATTACCTTGGGAAGCAAAAATGCTCCTATTTCAAAACGTATAAAATAAGGACATAAAGCATGAAAAATGTAGACATTGTTAGACTGTTTTCATATATTATTTTTCTTTAGCTCACTCATATCTGATAGTAAACAAATAAGGAAGTGAGTGGTGTGATATCAGTAGTAAAATAATTTAATGTAGTACTGAAAATAGCATTAAAAAAACACTTTAGCTCACAATATTAGTTGCCATTCAACAATACTATGATTTAGATAAGTTAAACTACTTGATGTTCTCCAAAACGTGATATTTTTAAAAACTGTTTCATTGCTTGTGCTGAATTTGTCCCCTCTCTCTTGAATTCCCTTCCCCTCACCTAACCCCTTTTCCTCCATGAAACCTTTTCCCAGTCCCCCTATAATCAGCACATCACTTTCTCCACTGACTGTGACGGGCTATATACAGTGTCTGCCAGCCAGCTTACTATATATATAAAGTTTTTTAAAAGATGACTCAATTCTTACCTTTGTATCACCACAGAATTAAGCAAATTATACAGGGGTGGATAAAAGTGGGGTTACAGTTGTAATACAAATAAATAATAACTAATAAATAATAATACAAGAACAAACTCTATCACATACAAATGTAAACCTACATTTGCCCACTCTTGCATATACAACGAATAGATGTGGACAAAGTATTGATTCACTTCAATATTTTTTTCAGGAGTACATTATAAACCTAAAATTAATCAATTTTCAGTACCACAGTTGATTTTTGAATCTCTGCTATTAACCAGCTCTGTGGTCTTAAGCAATCAACTTTTCCTTTTTTATCTCAATTTTCTCCTCTGCTAAAAGGAATAGACTAGAAAGATTTTGCTGAAACCTTTCAAGTCAATTATTTTTTCCAAAGTTGTTTGCATTTTATCCAATAAATATAGTATGTGTGGTACTGTTGTATGCATGGGGGTTATACAAATGAGCCAGACCAATTTTCCTGCTTTGTGGACAAATTAAGAACTAGGTGACTCATTTATATATGGAATCTAATGAACAAAATAAACTGATGAACGAAATAGAAACAGAGGTATGGATACATGGAACAGACTGACAGCTGTCAGAGCAGAGGAGGACTGGATGAAGGAAGGTGAAGGGATTAGCTAAAGAATACATATATGCACACCCCATAGACACAGACTACAGTGTGGTGATGGCCAGAGGGGGGCTGGTGGGGACTGGGTGGAGGTCGGCAAAGAGGGTGATGGGGACATCATAATAGTGTCAACAATAAAAATAAAGATACCCTCAAAAAAGAACTAAGTGATATTTGTACCAAATTCTGCAAATGCTTCTTGATGCAAATTAGACCCAACAACCAAAAATACCTTTGCCCTTCAATTGAAAATGCACGAAAGCATCTATCAACATTAGATTCTAATTTGTTTGTAAT